TTTTAATACAGCAGCCTTAGGTTAGTGTTTTATCTCTTAAGACTACCTTGAAAATCATGCAACTTTTTTTTTTTTTTTTTTTGAGATAGGGTCTCACTTCGTTGTCCTTGGTGGAGTTCAGTGGTGTCATGGCTCACAGCAACCTCAAACTCCTAGACTCAAGGGATCCTCTTGCCTCAGCCTCCTGGGTAGCTGGGACTACCCACAACACCCAGCTATTTTTAGAGACGAGGGTCTCGCTTTTGCTCAGGCTGGTCTTGAACCCATGAGCTTAGGCAATTCACCTGCCTCAGCCTTCCAGGATTACTGGTGTGAGCCACTGAGCAGGGCCTGTCATGCAACTCTTTAAGGGTGCTTTGTGAAATGCATCTTGGCATTCTCTTAACTTGTTTTTGTTTTGTTATTGTTTAGCATTACAGACTTCCTTAGTTTTTTCCAGAGATTTTGGTTTGCTTGTATTTGTTCGGAAGTCACTCAGCATGGATGAAGTAAGTTGAAAATTTTCATGTTGCTTTTCCTGTGTACTTCATTATGTTGGAGTGATTTATTCTTATCCATATTTACTATGTATATCTCTTTTATTACAGTTTCGTGATTGTAGAGAAGAAATTCTAAAATTTTTATGTATTTTCTTAGAAAAAATTGGCCAGAAGATTGAGCCTTACTCTCTTGATACTAAGGTGAGGAGAAAAAAAACATACCTTATTCCATTCTCAGAATCTAGTTCATCTTATGCTATAAAGAACTTGGGTTTGTGGCAGTTTTTTTTTTGTTTGTTTTTGGTAGAAACAGAGTCTCACTTTATTGCCCTCGGTAGAGTGCTGTGGCATCACAGCTCACAGCAACCTCCAGCTGTTGGGCTTAGGCGATTCTCTTGCTTCAGCCTCTTGAGTAGCTGGAACTACAGGTGCCCGCCACAATGCCCGGCTAATTGGGTTTGTGTTTTATTTATACCTTACTCATTGGGGAGATTTCTTATTTCTACTTGATTGCATTAGAAATGAAGTGAACTTTTTTTTTTTCTTTGAGACAGGGCCCCCCTCTGTCATCCAGGGTGTAGTACAGTGGTGCAGTCATAGCTCATTGCAGCCTTGAATTTCCCTGATCAGCCAAGTAACTAGGACTACAGGTGCATAACATCATGCTTGGCAAATATTTAAATTTTTTTGTTTGTAGAGGTGGGGGTCTCACTGTGTTGCCAAGGCTGGTCTCAAACTCTGACCTATGTGATCCTTTCATCTTGGCCTTCCAAAATGCTGGGATTACAGGCATGACCCACCATGGCCCAGCCCTGTTGTTGTTGTTTTTTTTGGTGGTTAGTTTTATCAATCTAATGTTATATTTTAACCACTAAATGCTAATGTTACATTTTAAACCGCTAAATACTATGTTTTACTATATCATATGCTGGTATTGCTACAATTGAGTGTTAGTTTTTAATGTTTTTTTTTGTGAGACAGAGTCTCAAGCTGTCGCCCTGGGTAGAGTGCCATGATGCCACAGCTCACAGCAACCTCCAATTCTTGGGCTTACGCCATTCTCTTGCCTTAGCTTCCCAAGTAGCTGGGACTACAGGCAGCCGCCACAACGTCCAGCTATTCTGTTGTTGTTGTTGCAGTTGTCATTGTGGTTTAGCTAGCCTGGGTCAGGGTTTGAACCCGTCAGCCAGCGCCCTAATCCACTGAGCTACGGGTGCCGCCAGTTTTCATGTCTTAATGATTGGTGATTTTGGTATGTCTCCTTTTAAAACCTAGAATACTTGTACCAGTGTTTATACAAAAGATAGAGCTGCTAAATGTAAAATTCCTGCCTTGGATCTCCTTATTAAGGTAATTTCATATGCCTAAGTTCATGTATTTTATGTTAAACCTGTAACTTATAAAACAGAAAATTGGAGTTTTGGGTGAGATTTTTTGGGGGGGATAGGATCAAATCATACTGATGTCTGAGTAAGATACACATTTTCTAGCCATCAGCTGCCAGTATTCTGATATTTTGTTCTTAGATCTTTCTGGGTGGTAAAAAAGAATTTTGTTGTGAGGTGAATGATGGGAAAAAATAACTAAGGGATTTACTGTTCTTTATCATCTTTTCTGCTTTTGGCTATTTGATGCTATTAGGAATTGCCAAATATCACTTTGTTTTGGAATTTTGCCTCAAACCTCAGCAGTGGGAATGGGTCTGCATGTTGCATTAAGTGGTCACTGCGGCTGTCTCTTACTTTTATCTCTCTCTTTTTGCATCCATTTAGAATTCCGTGGCCCTGGAATTCTAGTTGGTCCTTGGTCTTGAGTGCTGCTGGGAGAATAGTTCTAGTTGTTACTGGTTTCTTGGGAAGGTAAAATTAAGTCTGGGCTGCCCTTTCCCTTGTGTTTTTCACCACCCACTTCAACCCCTAACTTCCAAATGATCTGGATAGATAAGAGTGTTTAGAGGCCAGGTGTTAATCCTCAATAGACAACTGATTCTGAAATTTTGCTGTGCACAGATGCACTGTGGAACAAAAACCTTTATTTTCCTCTTTAGAAAATGCTATTTCTATTCTTTTAGTTACTTCAGACTTTGAGAAGTTCTAGACTCATGGATGAATTTAAAATTGGAGAATTATTTAGTAAATTCTATGGGGAACTTGCAATGAAAACAAAAATATCAGATACAGGTGAGATGCATTTAAATGTTATTTTTTAAGTATTAGCAAATTAGCATTAACAAATTATTACTGAGAGACTTAAGTTTTCTTCACCAAGGTCGCTATATGTTCTAGGGTCTTTATATGTTCTATCAATGAATCCTTTTTTCTGAAAACAAACCAAAATGAAACAAAAGCAATATACTAAGACTTCCATTTTAAAAAATGATAATCTTTTATAAAATGATTCCTTTAAATAGAAAACGTACAACACATGTTGAAAATAATTAGTAGATTTAATACACGTATTAATACTTAAACATGCACACAGGAAAGATTTTAGTATATAATATTGCATATGTCTTATTGTAAAATTACTTTTGAACTAAACATTCTCTTATTTTCTTATTCATACATTTTTATTTTTCTAACTTATTTAAAGGTAATTTTAGGGTCTCATTTATTTAAAATATATTTTCCAGTTTTAGAAAAAGTATATGAACTTCTAGGAGTATTAGGAGAAGTTCATCCTACGGCGATGATAAATAATTCAGAAAACCTGTTCCGGGCTTTTCTGGGTGAACTGAAGACTCAGGTATGATGAAGTTTATGATGTTCTGTTTCCATAGACTTGGTTGTATGTTTCTCTTTTAATGATACCTTCTTAAAACTTTCCTTTTAGATGACATCAGCTGTACGAGAGCCCAAGCTACCTGTAGTGGCAGGATGTCTGAAGGGGTTGTCTTCACTTCTGTGTAATTTCACTAAGTCTGTGGAGGAAGGTATTGCTCGATCTCACCTAATTTTCTTCTGTTAAAAAACTATAAGTCTAACAAGAATGGCTGGCTTATTTTTTTGAAGTTTTAAACCAGTTGTGAATTTATATGCAGTAGTGAGGAATAATCTAGAGAGACCTGGATGCCCTCCCTAGCTTCCTCTGCTCCTGGTAGGTATCTTTCATAAGCACAGTAGCACACGGGGCATTGATGCCATCCACTGACCTTAATCAGAACTTACCAGTTTTATGTGCATGGATTTATTCCTGTGTAGTTATGAGTGTGCAAGTCTTTCACACCTATAGGTTTATGTATATGCAGCTATAGTGAAGTTACTTGTGCTGCCCTTTATATCCACAGTAATAATAGTTCATACCATATACCATAGTCACATGGCCTCCAGCCCTCCAATTTGTCTCTATCTGTAGTTTAGTTATGTCAAGAATGTCACACAAATGGATTCATAGTTTGTAACTTTTTGTGTCTGGTTTGTTCATGTCTTTCAGATTCATCAATGTTCTAACATGTGTCAGAATTTTCTTTTTTCTTTCTTTTGTTTTTCTTTTCTTGAGACAGGGTCTAGCCTACCTGGGGTAGAATGCAGTGAGGTCTTCATAGCTCACTGCAACATCAAAGTCCTGGGCTTAAGCAAATTTCTTCTGCTCAGCTTCCCAAGGAACTGGGACTATGAGTGCACTCTAGCCTGCCTGGCTAATTTTTGTGTTTTTTGATAATTTTTATGGGTTTTTTTGTTTGTTTTTTTGCTCAGGCTGGTTTCCAACTCTTGGCCTCAAGCAGTCCTCCTGTCTAGCCTCCCCAAATGTTAGGATAATAAGGCATGAGCCACCTTGCCCAGCCTGAATTTTCTTCCTGAATAATATTTCATTGTATGTGTCCAGGCAGTCCCTGAGTTGCAAACATTCAACTTACGTACAACTCACACTTAGGAATAGAGGCTGTTACAGTCAGTCCTTGAGGTGCAGACTGGTTCTTTCTGAGGACATAATGTAGAAGCTGTAGCCTGAGAGGAAAGAAAGAGTTGGCGGGAAAGAGCAGTCTCATTCCAGGCAGGGTTACTGGCCAGTGCCTAGCTTCACACTTGTCCTCATGCTTGGCCAGTGTGTGCTGGTCTGAGGGGCTGAGAGAGCTGATATGTCTAGAGTTTAGAGGCATACAGCGTGGGCTGGTCTGGCCTACAACCAGCACAGCATTGGCATATGAGGAGCTTCTGACCTAGGCTCTGATTCTGGTCAGGGTAGGCAGCTATGGATTTTCAAGAAGGAATGGCTGTGGGCCAGCAGGTATTTTTTTCAAGGGTGCTCCTGACTGCTGTCAGATATGGGACATAAGTTAGTGTGGGAGCCAGGAGCTGAGGCTGTCGCTGATCACGTGGGTGGGATCCGGAAGGACTGGGTTTCAGGTAGAGACTTGGTCTTTAACTGGAGGTGTTCATGGAGTGTCCAGGGTTAGGTATCAAGTGTGCAGTTGTGTATGGAGACTGGATCTCACAGGAGAAATCTGGTCCCAATTTACACATTTGGTGGTTTTCAGCGGGTGGGTAGTTTCTAAGCTCTGAGTACGAGCATGATGAGCTAGAGCCAAGTATAGACAGACTAGGCAGAGAGTGGTGGGGGCAATGCAGGCAGCCTCCTTCCCTGTGGGGTCTGATGAGGAGGCACCAGACAGGAAATGGGTCAAGTTGAGCATTGAAGGAGAATTTGGACTGAAAGAACAAAGAGGCAATTGAAAGGGAGGAAGTGATACATTTGTGTAATAAGCCCTTTAGGGAAATCTTACAAAGGAAGGGAGCAGAGAAATGAGTGTAGCTGATGGAGGGTGTCGGGATAAGAGGGGGTTTTAAAAAATAAATACAAGAATTTGTGTACCTATATTCCTAGAAGCATATTTACAAGCTAAAAGGAGAAAGCCACCCAGGTGTACATGGATGGATGAATGGGTAAACAAACACATGTGCATACAGTGTACTGTTACCCAGACTTACAAAGGAAGGAAATTGGCTTGGCGCCTGTAGCACAGTGGTTACAGCGCCAGCCACATACACCAAGGCTGGCAGGTTTGAAACCAGCCCGGGCCTGCTAAACAACAATAACAACTGCAACAAAAAGCAGCCGGGTGTTATAGCGGGCACCTCTAGTCCCACCTACTTGGGAAGCTGAGGCAAGAGAGTCTCTTAAGCTCAAGAGTTTGACGTTGCTGTGATTTGTGACGCCACAGCACTCTACCGAGGACACCATAGTAAAATTCTGTCTCAAAAAGAAGGAAATCCTGACACACTAGAAGATGAAGGGACTTTGAAGACATCATCCTAAGTGGAATGAATCAGTCACAAAAAGGCAAATACTGTATGATTCCACTTGTATGAGTTAGAGTAGTCAAATGCAGAGACACAGAAAGCAGAGTGGTGGTCAGGAGCTGGGGACATGGAAAGTTGTATTTGATAGGTGAGCCTTTCTGTTGAGGATGAAGACATTTTAGGTATAGACGGTGGTGATGGTTATACAACAATGTGAATATATTAAATACCACTTATTTGTTCCTGTACACATCATTAGAATGATAAAAATGTGTATCTTACATTGAAAAAAATAGATATAAGACTATGCTTGTACAGGGAGTGGCCCACTAGGAGGAAGAGCTACAGGAAAGTGGGCCTGCGTGGCAGAGCCTGGGAGAAGCTACAATGGTACTTCCCTCCTTGTTTCCCAGCCTAGGATAGCTTAGGCCTCCCTCTGAGCTCACTGAGTCCAGGTATCCCAGACCCACTGTGCCTGGTACCCTAGTATCCACGTACCTCTTTCTGCATGATTACTTTCTTTTATTTATTTGTTTTAGAGATAGGTTCTCATTGCGTTGCCCAGGTTTGAGTGCAGTTGTAGTTCGTTGTAGCTCACTGTAGCCTCAAACTCCAGGGTTTAGGCAATCTGCTCACTTGAGCCTCCTGAGGGGCTGAGACTATAAGCACATACTATTATACCCAGATAATTTTGCTTTTTCACTTTTTATAGAGACGGGGTCTTGTTATATTACCCTGGCTGGTGTCAGACTCCGGGCCTTACGGGATCCTCTCACCTTGGCTTTCCAAAGTGCTGGGATTATGGCACGAGCTACTATGCCTGACCTTTTCCCCAGCGAATCTTAAATACAGCCAGAAGATAGAAGAAATTTCTGCTTCTCTTAAATTCCGAAGGAGCTTGTTTTTTTCCCCCATTGTTTAATCGTGTATGATTTTTTTCAGTTACTTACTAGTATGTAATTAATTTTTTTATAAACACTAAATATTTATTAAGCACTTAATAATGTGCTGGACACCATCCTTATTATGCTACATGTATTGTCTTACTACATAACCCATGAGGTGAATACTTTGTCAAATACTTATAAATTTATTTTTAAAATGAGACTACTGTGGATTAGGAAGGTTAAGTAAATAGCCCATCGCCATAGAACTAATAAGGGACTGAGCTAATGTTCAAAGCCAAGTTCTGTCTGACACTAATGTCCTTTGTTTTTCTTTTTTTTTTTTAGATTTCTTTAGTCTCTTTTATTTATTTCTTTTGTATTGTTGGGGAATCATTGAGGATACAAAGAACCAGGTTATACTGCTTGTATTTGTTAGGTAAAGTCCCTCGTAGATTATGTCCTGCCCAAAAGAAGTGTGCCACATCCTGACCTCCCACCGCCCTCTCTGCTCTCCCATTCCCCCACCCCCCACCATATACTAGCATCAGTTGTCCTCATATCAGAATTGAGTACACTGGATTCTTGCTGCTTCTTTCTTTTGATGCTTTACTAAGAAGAATATGTTTCAACTCCATCCAGGTTAATACAAAAGAAGATGTAAAGTCTCCATCTTCTTTTGTGGCTGAATAGCATTCCATGGTGTACATATAACACAGCTTGTTAATACATTCTTGAGTTGGTGGGCATTAAGGCTGTTTCTACAATTTGGCAATTGTAAATTGAGCTGCAATAAACAGTCTAGTGCAAATGTCCTTATGATAAAATGATTTTTTTTCTTTTGTGTAGATGCCCAATAATGGGATTGTAGGATCAAATGGGAGGTCTAGTTTGAGTTCTTTGAGGATGCTCCATACTTCCTTCCAAAAAGGTTGTATTAGTTTGCAGTCCCACCAGCAGTGTAAAAGTGTTCCCTTCTCCCCACATGCATGCCAGCATCTGCAGCTTTGAGGCTTTGTGATGAAATACCTAGGACTCCACCTAATGAAAGAGATGAAGGGCCTCTAAAGAAAATCATAAAACCCGGCTCGGCGCCTGTGGCTCAAGCTGCTAAAGCACCAGCCACACACACCTGAGCTGGCGGGTTTGAATCCAGCTCGGGCCTGCCAAGCATCAATGATGGCTGCAACCAAAAAATAGCCAGGCGTTGTGGCAGGCACGTGTAGTCCCAGCTACTTGGGAGGCGGAGGCAGGAGACTCACTTGAGCCCAGGAGTTGGAGATTACTGTGAGCTGTGATGCCACAGCATTCTACCCCGGGGCGACAGCTTGAGGCTCTGTCTCAAAAAAAAAGAAAATTATGAAACCCTAAGAAAAGGAACAGAAGATAGTAACAAATAGAAGAACATACACCATGCACGTGGCTTGGAAGAATTTACATTGTTAAAATGTCTATACTTACCAAAGCAATCTACAGATTCAGTGCAATCTAATCTCTATTAAAATACCAAAATCTTACTTTCAAGATTGGAAAAAAAATCTTTGTTTTATATGGAATCAGAAAAACCCCGTATAGGTAAAGCAATTCGTAGTAATGAAAACAAGGCCAGCTCGGCTGGCGTCTGTGGCTCAAGTGGCTAAGGCGCCAGCCACATACACCTAAGGTAGTGGGTTCAAATCCAGCCCCGCTGGCCAAACAACAGTGATGGCTGCAACCAAAAAATAGCCGGGTGTTGTGGCGGGCGCTGGTGGTCCCAGCTACTTGAGAGGCTAAGGCAGGAGACTTGCTTGAGCCCAGGAGTTGGAGGTTGCTGTGAGCTGTGATGCCATGGCACTCTACCCAGGGGGACAGCTTGAGGCTCTGTCTCCAAAAAAAAAAAAAAAAAAAAAAAAACCAAGGCTGGGGGCATCAGCCTACCAGACTGTACTACAAGGCTGTAGTAATCAAAACAGCATGGTACTGGCATAAAAATAGAGACATAAACATCTGGAACCGAATAGAAAGCCATGAGATGAAACTAATATCTTGCAGCCACCTGATCTTTGATAAACCAAACAAGCACATACACTGGGGAAAAGAATCCCTATTCAATAAATGGTGCTGGGAGAACTGGATAACCACATGTAAAAGACTGAAACTGGACCTGCACCTTTCTCCACTCACTAAAATTGATTCAAGATGGGTAAAAGACTTAAATCTAAGGCATGAAACAATAAAAATCTTGAAGAAAGTGTAGGGAAAACACTTGAAGGTATTGGCCTGAGGAAGGGTTTTATGAAGACTTCAGAGGCTATTGAAACGACGACTAAAATAAATACATGGGACTTTATTAAACTGAAAAGCTTCTGTACAGCTAAGGAGACAACCAAAGCAAATAGACAACCATCAGAATGAGAAAAGATTTGCATATTATGAATCAGACAAAAGCTTGATAACTAGGATCTGTAGAGAACTCAAATTAAGCAATAAAACAAGAGCCAACAATCCCTTATATCAATTGGCAAGTAAGATGAATAGAAGCTTCTCTAAGAAGACAGATGAATGGCTAACAAGCATATGAAAAAATCCTCATTGTCTGTAATTATCAGAGAAAGGCAAATCAAAACCACCCAAAGGAGCTTTAAACAGAGTATTACTATGTCTCCCTCTGTAGAGTGCTGTCGTGTCACAGCTCCCAGCAACCTCAAACTCTTGGGCTTAAGTGATTCTCTTGCCTCATTCTTCCAAGTAGCTGTGACTACAAGCGCCTGCCACAATGCCCAGCTATTTTATTACAGTTGTCCTTGTTTAGCTGGCTCAGGCCAGGTACAAACCTGCCAGCTGTGTATGTGGCTGGTGCCGTATCCACTGTGCTATGGGTGCTGATCCCCACAGCTTTCTTTGTATCCCATTGTGACAGCATCGTACACTCATGCTGATGTCTCCCTGCCTTGGGGCCCCTCTGACCATATTTTCCCTCCACCTGTTATCCCACAGTCATTTGGGATCTGTCTCAAATTTATCAGTTCTTGCAATCAAAGCAAACGATTCTTGAGCCTCTGGTGTTTGTAAGTCACTGTCAACAAGGGTAGAGAAACCAGTGATGAGTAAAGCAAGACTTCTGACAATTGCAGTGAATAATCTGATGGGAGACACAGGTGACTGCAGCTGGGAGCATTGTTTCACACCTGTGATTCCAGCTAGTTGGGTGGCTGAGGTGGGAGGACTGCTTGAGGCCAGAAGTTAAAGACCAGCCTGGGCAACATAATGAGATCTTTTCCCAAAAAGAAATATTCAGGCATGGTGGTGCAGGCCTGCAGTCTCAGCTGAGGTGGGATGATGCTAGAGCCCAGCAGTCTGAGACCAGCTGGGGTGACAGTGAGACTCCATCTTGTATAACTGAGATGTGGACCGTGCTAGGACCAGAGCCTCATGTTTTACTTGTACACCGGTGTTATCTTCCCTTTTAGGTAATGAGTTTACTAATGGCAAAGGTCATATTTTGTTCATATTTTGTGATTTATAGTAACTTTGCATGTACTGTGTGTTGAATAAATGCCTCAGAGTACTGGGGTAAAAATAATATTTTAGGCCTTGAAATTGTTATTTGATCCCCCAAAATGACCCTAAATAAATTAAAGTATATCTGTACCTTTTGCAAATAAGAAAATTGAGGATCTGAGAGTTTGAATTTGAACCCATGTTTTTCTCCCAGATTTTCTTCTTTAACACAGTAACAACTATAGCGATATAACTTGGAATTCTGTAGCTGGAGCAAATGATAGAAGGTGTTCCTCCTAAATTCACAAGAGACTGTTGGGGTTAATGTGGATGTTAAGCTGTTTGAACTAAAGTTGTTGGTTGGAAAGTTAGTGGTTAAATATGTCAGGTGATACTATAGCTAGATGTGTAATAGGCTTCTTTCTGTTTCTCCAGATCCCCAGACTTCAAGGGAGATTTTTGAATTTGCACTAAAGGCAGTTTGTCCTCAGGTAGGATTAATATTACTCTAAATCTTTGACAGTTGAGACTTGTGATTTTCAGACACTGATGTTGATTTTTTTTCTAAAATAGATTGATCTGAAAAGATATGCTGTGCCCTCAGGTAAGATTCTGTTTGTAATGAGATATAATATTTTGAATTCTATATTCACATCTCAGGGAAACTTTTTTGTTTGTTTGTTTTTGGCCGGGGCTGGGTTTGAACCCTTTACCTCCAGTATATGGGGCTGGCACCCTACTCTTTTGAGTTATAGGCGCCGCCCGGAGGGTTTTTTTTTTTTTTTCAGTATCTGTCTCTTTGGTAAATTTCTTATTTATATTCATAAGTGTTTTTCAGATTTCCCTGAGCTGCTTTAAAATCAATATTTTTATTTAATTTTTTTTATTAAATCATAGCTGTGTACATTAATGCAATCATGGGG